TTGCATAAACTTCAAATCTAATTTTCTCAGCCAAATTCAATTTTATCTTCAAGTTTTTAGTAGATTATGAATGTATACATCTAAACATTTCACAAGTAATCTACAACATTCGCGTCCGTGTTGTATGGGCTTTACAATCTCTCACCTTCGGCTCGAGATTGTAAAATCACATATAACACGGCTGCTCATGTTGTAAACATTACATAAACATAAGGGTTATGCCATTTTCTACTGCAGGAGATTTTACCTTGTGATCCTTATAGGGGGAGATATTGATCCAAACCTTATTTGCAGATTGTTGGCAGTGTTGTTTTTTTTCACCTGCATATGAGCTTTCAGTCAGATTCAGTCAAAACAATAATACAATACATTAAATAGAGTGACGTCACTGCCTGGAATCTGTTCTGAAATGTTTTTTTTACCTCCATAGTATGTCAACCAGGTTTTACTGGATATTACTGTGAAACAAACATCAATGAGTGTGGCCAAGGATCTTGCTATTCATACAGTACTTGTGTTGATGGTGTTAATAATTTTACCTGTGTATGTGGGCCWCGATACACTGGACGTTTGTGCAAGACCTTCCTTGGTTCTTATTGCAATGATAAACCATGTCAAAACAGTGGAGTTTGTAAAGATACTGATGAAAGTAAGAACAACTATACTTGTACGTGCCCAGATCCTTGGACTGGACGAAATTGCACTGATGTCATCAATCCCTGTAACCCATCGCCTTGTCTCAATGGTGCAACGTGCTACAGGAAAGGTCAGCAGAGTGCAGAGTACAACTGCTCATGCCCTCCAGGTAATGAATTGTCAATCAATCATTTGTCTTTAGATTACAAAACCCTTAGCAGAATACCTTATAGATATATTTTTTGAGCATGTTTATCAAATAGATAATCATGATAATATTTGGTTGAAATGGATGTATAGAATACCACAGCCATAAATTGAAATATATATAATATTGATATACTGTACATTGTTTAACTCTAAGAAGGGTTATTGAATGCAAAAAGGAGAATTGAACATTGTTTTTCTCCTTTACAATTATAATGAATAAGTAAACTTGCGGGCAAAGATTTTAATTATAAAGGAGTATACGAGAAGTATTTTCATMATCTTTAATCTTTAAATATTTCAGCTACTAGCTGTAGCCATCATCAGTATAYGTGTGACTAAAGGAATCTGAGTTTTTTTACATGTAAATTAGTTAAGTAAAGACAATAATGAATATTTTCATGTTCAATACTTAATTGCATATTATTATTATTCATCCAGGTTTTACTGGTATGAAATGTGAAAACAACATTGATGACTGTAGAACAATACCATGTGTCAATGGCAGATGTATCGATGGTATAAATAACTACACATGTAATTGTACTGGATCTGGTTACAAAGGACCAAAATGTTCTGAAGATATCAATGAATGTAATTTAACATCACCTTGTCTTAATGGAGGGACGTGTTATAATTATCCTGGTACATACAGCTGTAAGTGTGCTCCAGGCTACAGTGGTGTCCGTGATTGTGCTGTCAATATTGATGACTGTCAATCAAAGCCCTGTCAAAATGGAGGTATGTTACTTACATAACAATGATGATACATGATATGTTTCTTTCATATGTAATATACGATATGCGATAGTAATAAAGTAAACTTGCGGGCAAAGATTTGAATTATAAAGGTCGAGTATACAAGAAGTATTTTCATCATCTTTAATCTTTAAATATTTCAGCTACTAGACGTAGCCATCATCAGTATACGTGTGACTAAAGGAGTTTTTTACATGTTAATTAGTTAAGCAGAGACAAAGATATGGTGTCATTTTGTTCATTTAAACTAGGATTGTATTGTTTGATGCATAATGCTTCAGCTATTGTTCTACTTTTGTAGTTGGTCAGATTGCTTTGAATAATTTGAATGTCGTCAATGGTAGTAGCCGAAATATTAAAGATTAAAGATGATGAAAATACATCTCGTATACTCATTTGCAATAGTAATGATTCTACTGTAACAATACACTAGACATTGTGAACAGCTAATAGGATGTTGTTTTGGACTATTTGCACGGCACAACGTATGATAATAAAGCATATTTTGCAATAGTCTCCTTCACTTGTGCCATCTTGAAAGGTAGCTGTGCCTTTACATCGAAGCAAAACAACTCTTGAGCATGCAATGATAGAAAACTGTGAATAATTGTCTGTAGGTGCAGTGAAAGAAGGTTTTTATCATTGCGTGCTTAACGGTCGTTTCGCTTTGATGCAAAGACACGGCTATCTTTCAAGACGGAGCAGGTAACTGTGAAGGAGCAAATTGCTGATATTGGTTCTTTTCTATTGTTATTTATGATTTCCCTAACCATCTTAGGTCTAAAGCACATTCTTGAGAACAAACACAGGAATTGAGCTGACAAGCAACTATTGGAATGTTTAAATGCTGAAATCATAAAACATGAAATCTTGAAGAAAACTGAATAGAAGTTTCAAAAAAAGATATTGAATTGTAAATGATAAAAAAAACAAAAGATTTTTTAGTCAGATACATGTAATGACATTTTGTGCTAAGCTATGGGTAATAGTATATTTTTGCTCTCCACAGGAACATGTCGTGATCTGGTGAATGATTTCAACTGTACTTGTGTTGTTGGGTTTACTGGTAAACAATGTAAGACCAACATCAATGACTGTGTCAGCCATAACTGCACACAAAACCAGGACTGTRTTGATGGAATCAACAGTTTTACATGTCAATGTAAAGCAGGTGGGTCAATGATTGTCAGTCAAGATAAGGATGATATGGAAGGATATCAAGGATGAATGAGTTATTCATAGCATAAAAACATAATGATCAAAGAAGGGAAATAAAAAAATCTAACTATTGATATTAAATGGATCATACGAAAAAATTCTGGGCTTCAATGGGATTTGAACCCATGAGCCCTGTGATGGCAGTGCAATGCTCTACCGGTTGGTGAGCGGTCATTTCATGGTTGAACCCATCCATCTTAAGGAATAAATGATGCAATGATGGTTCAAACTGCTGTGAATAATTGGGATAAATAATGATCGCGCCAGGACTGTATTAAAAAAATTGTATAGCGCTGTGAGTAATTCATAATGCATTAAACTGATTTTCTTGCAAACTGATTTTCTCTGTAAGTTACGAAACGATTTTGCAGATGAAATTTGTCATGGATTTGACAAAAATGAATCAGTTATGCTTAATATTTAACAAAAGTAAAGTAAAATATGTAATGAAATGATTAACCAACTTGATGATTTATCACATAATCATTTTGTTTGGTTTTGCACCATGTAACAAATTCGTTAAATGGTTGATTCGAATATTGCTCCACCGCGTGGGACCCGTACACCATCAAGAACATCACTAAGGTGGAAATGGTGCAGAGGCGAGCCGCCCGCTGGGTCCTCGGCTGCTATGGCCGAACTGACAGTGTTACAAACATGCTAAACGAACTGGGGTGGTACACTCTGCAGCAGAGCAGAGCTATTGCCCGCCTTTCTTTGATATACAAATTCCACAATGGTCTTGCTTATACTAATAGTGATATGTTAATTCCTGTACCTTATACTGCCACTAGGGCATCTGGCCATTCATTCTTGTTACCCAAAATAATACGTAATTACTACAAATACTCTTTTTTTCCTCGATCACTGAAAGACTGGAACAATCTAGCGCCTAAAATAGCACTTTCCCCTACACTAGCGCTTTTTAAAGCCTCAGTGGCTGACCTCATAAGAGTTTAGATATCTTTATTCTTCTTTTTCTTTTCTTTTTACTGTTATTATTATTTTTTTTTCTATGTATGTTACAGTCCATAATATTCAGTAATGAATGCGTGACTTATTTGGTAAATAAATAAAAAAAAAAATTTATTGCTATGTCAATCCATTCAATATCACTATTCAATGTCATTTCAGGATATACTGGTGTGAACTGTATGACAGACATCAAAGAATGCCTCAGTAACCCATGTCAGAACAACGGCACATGTCATGAGGGAATTAACGGCTATAACTGTTCATGTCCATCAAGGTTTAATGGCTCACATTGTGAGTTTGACACAGTTAATGACTGTTTATCCAACCCTTGTGTGAACAATGGGACGTGTATGGATGGTGTGGCTGACTTTAACTGCTCTTGTCCTCAAGGATTTGCAGGAAAACGGTTAGTTTAATATATGGGTTGATTCATAAGTCTGTATTTTTTACATTTGGTCTTTTATGATGGTTTTTTTTATCTTCGTTTTTCAGGGTCTTCGGTCTTCGTTTTCTAGGGACTCTAATCTTCAGTCCATTTTTGATCGGTTTATCTTTTCATCTGTTTTATGCATATTTTCTTCACATTACTGTATTCTCCCACTTATCATTCATTCTTCTTTCATTTCTTCATCAGCCATCAGTCTTTCACCCACTCATTTATAACCATTTTTCTTCCACTCACCTATTTTATTATCTTTTCATCTATCTTTCAATTCATTCAAACAATTGATGAGAATTCAAGAACTCAAATTCAAACGATAGATAGTAAATTAAGTGTTTTATGCCTTGCAATGATATTTTGCAACATTATTTTGAATATTTACATGTACAATTCTTGCAAAACATTGATCACATGTATTTATATGCAAATGACATTGTTGTTGTTTTTCCAACTGTCTGGTCAGTGTTGATGGGATGTATGTTTTGTTTCCTTTGTTTATTTATTTTTAGTCCCATGTACTTTTCAGATGTGTTTCCCTACCTCATCCCTTGACCATTGCACACTGCTATCTTGCACTCACAGCAATGCTTTCAATCYTTAGGTGTGAGCTGGACATATGTGACCCTAACCCATGTGCAAATGGCGGCAACTGCACTAAAATAAGCCAGTTTGACTTCAACTGCACATGTGCAACAGGCTTTACAGGACACAATTGTTCCAAAAATATCGATGACTGCATCAATAACACGTGCATTAAGAATGCTACATGCATAGACGGTATTAATAATTATACCTGTCGATGCCCTGATGGTTATACTGGAGAATTCTGTCATATTGATATCAATGAATGTGCTTCCAATCCATGCAAGAACAATGGCACGTGTGTTCATGGGATTGGCCAATACAACTGTAGATGTTTAAGTGGTTTTAACGGTACCCAGTGTGAGAATAACATCAATGACTGTCCATCCCATGGCTGCTATAATGGTACTTGTATTGATGGTATTAACGATTACAAGTGTCAGTGCTACAGTGGTTTTAACGGGACACATTGTGAAAACGAGATCAACGAGTGTCTTTATAGTAAGTTTTATAAGTATTCTCTTTCTATTGGACGTCAAATACGCAAAGCATCATCCAATCAGAAAATGTAGTCCTCACTGATCTCACATAATTTTGCGTTCTGAAGTAATTCCTGATTCTATTATATTTTGTTCATTTCAAAAGCTTTTGGCATGTTCTTGCAAAAAAAATGTGTGTTGGGCGCATACTATTTGAAGAAATCTAGCCGCGGCAAAATTTTGTGTGGCTTCGGCACATTGTTAAAGTGAATTCCAACAGTACTAAATATACTACATGTCTCCAAGAAAGAATCACCTATTCCATCAGAAGAAAATATTGCATCTTCCGATGAATCATCCATTCGCATGCACTGTTATTTTCAGGGAGTTGATATAACTCTGTCAAGGGAGTTAAATTTACTCCACCCAATGGAGTAACTTTAAAGGGAGTTAAATCTACTACGTAATGAGAGTAAAGTTAACTCCACCAGGGGTAGTTTTAACTCCACAATGGATAATTTTAACTCTACCTGAAGATACCTAAGTGGAAGTATATAACTCTAATGGGAGTAAAGTCTACTCTACATTAAGAGTAATGGTAACCCTACAAACATAGTTAACAGAGAGGACAGTCTTCTTTATTAACTATGCTACAAAGGAGTAATTTGAACTCTCCTGGAGTTACTTAGTGGAGTAACTTCAGCAAGGCTAAAATGTACTCCACAATGAGAGTAATACCAAGGAGTGCTTTTATATAGCTCCACCCTGAGTTTGAATATGAATATTCAGACAATTTTTATTCTTTCATACTTACATTCTATTTTAATATCTCGTAAACACGCGCCTACATTGATAATTGTTCACGAACTGGTTTTGGTAATGGTCCGAGTAAGAACTAGGCAAGCAAACGGCAATGGAATGCAAGAAGGTGCTAATTGTGTATTGTATAATCCATCCATCTCATTGGTTAAAACATTAAAGTCTGACATAATTTCACAAGTTAGCGCATTTAATATTTTATTTAATATCTGATCCCGACTTCATGGAAGCTTTCCTTAGCTTTAATATTAATAGTAATTCTACGTGGGGAACATAGCAAATTAGAAGCATCTTTTTGGCTATTGTTTTGAGTGCTTATGATTGGACAAGATCCTTTTTAAAATACAAAAGAAACTTTCTTTTAAAACAGAGTTTATCGACATTTTATTTTAAAAATGTGTTACCCATAGGTTGAYATATAATCRRTGTGAAAACMAAGACATTCGTATGTGGGGAAGTTGCAATTGCCGCAGAACAATAGAGAGTTGCCTAGTTCTTACGAGCATTGTTACTTAACTGACACGTTAATTTGACGTGAGCAGTTCGCTGTTTGAATACGCACTGAGCTCTCATTCCAGAGTGAATATTTAAAATTTTAAAAATCACTTAAATATAAACCTGATGCGAATTACTATGTTCGAGACTTATTCACATTCTTGGCTGAATATCAAATTCCCTTAGACTTAAAACTAACGTGGATTATTTTATTTGCGCTGAGTGGATAATCTTTTCAAGAATAAATCTTTAGTGTTCGGTCTAATTGGTTGGACGTCGGAGACCCCTACAGGGTTTGTCTGTAATACTAAAATATGCTATATATAGTTCTCTTTTACTTTTAAGTAAAAGACCACTATATAAAACTCTTTTGTTAGTAAGTACGCGTGCGCATGCTTGCACAGTGGACGGAGTAAAAGTTACTCTCAAATGGGAATAATTATTACTGCCAAACTGGAGTTAAATAAGTAGAGTTAGAGTTACTCCAAAAAAGGAGGCATCCTGTACATTTTTGTTCTACTCCACTTTTGGATTGATTTTGACTCTTAGAGGAGTTGATTTGACTCTTTTATAAAAAGTGAAAACAGCTAATATAATAGAGTAAAGTTACTCCTAAATGGGAGTATTTTTAAATCTCAAATCGGAGTTAAATATGACGTGGAGTTATATTTACTCCTAAAAAGGAGTCATCCTGTACCTTTTTAAACTCCACTTTTGGAGTTAAATCAACTCTCAAAAAATAAAAGTGCAGTTTCTAATCTAACATTTTTGCGCTCGCAAAAAGGTTTTTAACACAAAAAAATAAAAAAAATAATTGCCCGTCCCTTATTTCTTGTTTTTTTTTGTTCTCAGGTTCAACGTGTTTAAACGGAGCAACGTGTATCAATACTGTTGGTTCTTACAAATGTCTGTGTAATCAGTATACTAACGGGACACGATGCGAACATGACATCGATGAATGTAAACTAAATGCCAGTCTATGTCAGAATGATGGGCATTGCCGAAACTATGTATACCCACACAAACAYACGACTGGGGAAATCATTGGATTTCTGTGCTTGTGTGTTCCTGGATTTCTAGGTAATATTTCAGTGTTGGTAATAAATGCTAATAGATGCAGTGTGTGGGATGGTGGTTGGTGGATATCCCCCCTCTCGCCCCCCCTCTCCTCTCGCCCCCCTCCCGCACACACATTTTGGTCCATAAAAAGTTAAATTTTTCCAGTTAGCAAAATTATGCTAGCTTAAGTCTTTAAATTTCGAAATTTTGTAATGTGCATATTGACCTTGGTTGGCATTGAATTTTTTTTCCRMYTCCATTTGAAAAATTCTTGTATCCTTCCCTATATTTTATGGTTTAATTTGGAAGTAAAACAAGATAAGGACAGTGGACAGCAATATCTTGATGATGAGCAAAATAGAAAGGATTTTGTTAGTGTTCATTTTTTTCATGCCGTGACTCTGGCTACTTCACGGTGTTCCTGAATACCTGACGAGGTCCCTTGGTGTGCTGTGATCCAAGCCTTTCTGCTTGTAATCAGATCTGCAAAAAAAGTATACTGTTTATCCAAAGTTGTTTTGTTTTAACTGTTATTGTTTTTCAGGGAAATATTGTGAAGACAATATCGACGACTGTGTACTTAATAGCCAGCCCTGTAAGAACGGCGCACAGTGTGTCGACCAGATTAATGACTATTCCTGTAAATGTACCACGGGATGGCAGGCAAAGAACTGTGATCAAGACATCAACGAGTGTTCGTTAGGTTACTGTAAGAACAATGCTACGTGTAATAACAGTCAAGGCTACTATAACTGTACATGTGTACCGGGCTACACTGATCACAACTGCTCTACTGATATTGACGAATGTGCTGACCAACCCTGCAAGAATGGAGCGACATGTAATGACTTTGTGAATTTCTACAACTGTTCCTGTGTGCCAGGATATACTGGTAAGCATTCATGGTTTGATACTCTGTGCTAATACCTTTGTGACTATAGCTCAACATAACGGGCTAAAATTCTGTACCAATGACCGTTGATAAACCAATGCAGTTGTATGGAAACCAGGCTTAAGGGCTGAACAAAATACAYCTAAAAAAATTTCTATTATAAGCTGTAGAAATCAGTTCAATTGCTCTTTGAAAGTTCTAGCTAAACTTATAGAAGTATTTGATACGCATGTCTGATGATGTTTTTAATATTCACAGGTAAAAACTGTTCAATTGATATCGATGAATGTGCTTCCAACCCTTGTCAGAACAATGCTACATGTTCCGATGGCATCAATGAGTTCAACTGTTCGTGTAGCAGTAACTATACTGGTAATYTATGCCAGTACCCRGTCTCTCGCTGTCGACCAGATAAYCCATGTCTGAATAACGGGACGTGTATTGACCAAGGGTTGCATAACTATACGTGTAATTGCTTGCCTGGCTATGGAGGAGAAAACTGTCAGAATATSACAACAATAAGCTTGAAYGGTTCATCGTTCATGTCGTTTGATGTCGGTAAGAGTTTGTTTAGCCTKTCACTGCAGTTCAGGACAACTTTAAAGTACGGTGTACTAGCRGCCAATGGRGATAACAGCATGTTACTGCAGRTGAAAGGAGATGARTTAGAACTCAYGTACAACAATGCGAGMCAYACCCTTGGTCAAGATGCTAATCTACGTAATGCACAATGGCAYCATGTARYYATTAACRTGACAACCAGCGCTATTTACGTCACCATTGACAACGATTCATGTGTCAACTGTATGTTAACTGTTCAGCGGTCATCACAACCCAAGATAACCAAGCTGTATATGGGCGGGAAAGACAGT